TACACAAATTAGTTGAAGCTGTCGACTGATCTAAATTTATACTTTTATAAATTGATTCAAATCGATTTATTTTCGTGATTGAATTTGAATGAATTTTCTATGAAAGTTCTCTGTGGCTCAATTAATAGATACTACCGATGATTTGCAACTAAACGAAGATTGTTCTCAGTGCAACGGTTTCAGAAAACCGTTTTTCGCGAAATTTTCACCTTAAAACAAGGCGAGTTTTTGAGAGAGCGAGAGCAACTTTCACTTAAAATGGATTTGCAGTTAAACAGAGAAATTTGTAGAAAATCCGACGATACATGAGTTCCAGTAGCGTCGATATCTATCAAAGACTGTGTTATGTAGTAAAAACTATCGCGGTTAGTTCTCTAACTTGTTCACTTTATTCAGTAACAAATTACTATCTTCACGCATTCACAAAAGATACAGCTATATATACATATCTCCGAACATCCGAGAAAGGATCAGAAAAGGGTCTAACGATGTCAGAAGGACTAGCTAGAACATGACATCATTAGGTCATGACGTACAAAGAAGAATACGAAAGAATATGTTCTTTACTACTCACCGGACTAATGACGTCAGTAGAACAGGACATAACATGACGTCAGAAGAATTGAAAAGAACGTGATGACAGTAAAACATAAGGAAGAAGAAACGTGACTAAAACATATGATCTCTTTAGATCATATGTACGCGTAACGTGGAAGCACACAAATATGTACGGTCAAAAAAATACTACTTAACACCTCCTAACACACCTCCCACGGTACAAGATGAAGCGTCCTCGCTCATCTGTACAACCAAAGGAAAGCAGAGGAACGAGATAATGGAAAAATGGTACCCGAAGGTAATTGAGAAAAAGATTGTTTGTCCTTTCTGTTTTAACAACAATGAATCCGTCAGTATCGTATGATACCTTTGTAGATCATAATGACCAAGATAAATGTTGTTAAATATTGGGTTTGTAATTTTCAAATCTTTAATATGTACCGGACAAAATCGATCAGAAGCTGCCACCATGGGACTATTTGGGTTTGTCCAAGCAATTAATATAAATCTAACTAATGTATACTGATTTGTCGTTAACTATGATGTTAGAACGTAAAAGGAATACCGTGTCCATATGGATAACCGAGGGCTATATGATTGTTGGGAATTCGGATGTGGTTGTTTATTATGGGACCATATACGGCCAGAGCCAGTTCCAATGCAGCAAGGGTTCAATTTTATTGTGGCCTAACAAACTAGCAATAAATTGATCACCATGTTCGAATACAAGGTTAATACTCATACCAAACAGCGTTAATTCAATACCAATATAGCCATAATTGGCATTCGTTGATGTTGTTTCCCGACTTATTAGGGCGCTACCAAACATAATCAGCTTTAATAATAATAACGCGCAAGGCAATACTTGTTGCATTTTTGTTTTAATATGTTGCTGCTCAATGAGTTGTTTACTAGTAGTTCCTAATTTTGGCATTAATGATAGAGTATGATATGCTACTGCTTGACCTGATGGTTCGGATGTGGTTTCTAACTGGGTAACGGATGCTGATGGTTGTTGTGGATGTTCTAATCTTAATTGAATTAATTCACGGTAACGATTCAATTCTAGATTGTCTAATTGTACACAATGCTGTTGCTGTTCAGATAGTACTTGTTGTGTCATTATAATCCGTGCCATTTCCATTTTTTCGGCTTTTAATGTCATTTCGGGTTTTTCCAATTGGGCTTGTTTCATATTCAAATCATTTTGCATTTGCTATGTTTCCAGTAGGTATTTCAATTGTAAATTTTCCATGTCTATAGGTTTGTCTACGGACATCACCACTGGCTGAGGTACCATCATATACTGTGGAACTGGTACTAATGTTTGTTGTTGACTGGTGACCTGGGCTATACTATCGTCGGATGTTATCATTTTGTCAAGCCAGAATCCTTCTAATGAGTGCTCAATTTCATATGGCGCTGTCTGAGTGGGCAACATTATGGCTGCTTGTTCGATTTGGTTGGATGTTCCAAATGCCTCAATGAATGCCATTTGTACTTGTTTCCAGTTATAATTTATCAATGTTAACTTCTCCAAATGATACCATGATTTTGTTCCATCAACTAGTTTTAACGGATGCCATAATCGTCGTTGATCTTCGTCGAAGCCAGCTGTTGTGCATGCTTGATTGAAAGCCGTAAGCCAATCGAGTATATTCTGGCCAATCTCGCTAGTGAACGGTAGTAAGTTTTGGAAGGATTCTAATGCTGGTGTTGTTGACGGTGGTACTGGCGTAGTTATTGATGGCGATGATGATGTCATATGACTTGGCGTGGTAATAATTGAATTTGGTTCCACTGGTTCCAAATCATGATACCATTGTTGAGTAAGGTGTTTTTGCTTGAGATATTCAATATTTTCCAAACGAACTTTCACTTGTTTGATAATGTTCATATATTCATCATAAATTACGACTAAACAGCGCTGATGTTGCATGTCAATATCGATGATCGATGCTGAAAGACGTTCGTTACTAGCTTCGCATCGTACTAATACCAATTCACCGACGTTGAAAATACTATTATTCGATGGACGATGTCATGATCGATGACCTTCGGGACCGAATTTTGTTGATGTCGTTTGACCCGTTGGGTTCTCCATTCGCAATTTTTCATACATCATAATGATAACAGTACTGGGTTCTTCCTTGATAATGATGTTGTTTGTATCAAAGATCGGCTAGTGCACCAATGTTAGGTAGTAAAACTATCTTGATTGATTTTCTATCTTGGTCACTTTATTCAGTAACAAACTACTATCTTCACTCATTCACAAAAAATACAGCTATATATACATATCTCCGAGCATCCGAGAAAGGATCAGAAAAGGGTCTAACGATGTCAGAAGAACTGGCTAGAACATGACATTATTAGGTCATGACGTACAAAGAAGAATCCGAAAGAATATGTCCTTTACTACTCACCGGACTAATGACGTCAGTAGAACAGGACATAACATGACGTCAGAAGAATTGAAAAGAACGTGATGACAGTAAAACATAAGGAAGAAGAAACGTGACTAAAACATATGATCTCTTTAGATCATATGTACGCGTAACGTGGAAGCACACAAATATGTACGGTCAAAAAAATACTACTTAACACCTCCTAACAACCGGCAGTTTGAATAAAGTGTTTGAACAAAAACATGTTTAACTTTTGCAATTTTTGTGAGTAATCATCACTTATTATACAAAAAGAGAAAAATTTCATTCTTTCACGTTGAGAAGCAGAGCCTCTGAGC